TTGCTTTTCGGGGGCATCTTCGCACGGCCCTCTCGCGCTGCCGCAGCCCCCCCCCCTCCCTCCGCCGTCGCCGGAGGCATGGCAGCCGCTGCTTTCCCAGCAGTAGCCGCGGCCACGGTGGCGGCTGCTTCTCCCCCGCCCGCCGCCATCACCGCCATCACAGCGGCAGCGACAGCAGCTCCAACTGCCGCAGAGGACGCCCCCGCCGTCACCTCCGATGTGTCTGCTGCTATAGACGGTGCCGTCTTCTCGCTCTTGTTGGCACCCGGCACCGCACCCGCCACGGCGGTGATGCCGCCGTCAACTTGCGTGAGGTCCACGTTGCCTGCTGTCGCTGTCGATGCCGCCGCGCCTTTTGTGACGCCGCGCTTCGGCCTCGCGGCCACCGGCGCTGCCGCTCTCTTCTTGGCCTTCTTGATAGCACCCGGCGCGGCGCCCGCCACGGCGGTGACGCCGCCGTCATCTTGCGTCAGGTCGACGTCGCCTGCTGTCGCTGTCGATGCCGCCGCGCCTTTTGTGACGCCGCGCTTCGGCCTCGCGGCCACCGGCGCTGCCGCTCTCTTCTTGGCCTTCTTGATAGCACCCGGCGCGGTGCCGGCCACAGTGGTGACGCCGCCGTCTTCTCAGGTCGACGTCGCCTGCTGTCGCTGTCGATGCCGCCGCGCCTTTTGTGACGCCGCGCTTCGGCCTCGTGGCCCCCGGCGCTGCCGCTCTCTTCTTGCCCGTCTTGGTAGCACCCGGCGCGGTCGGCTTCGCGGCCCCCGGAAGCCCCGGTGTGCCGCCGCGCTTCTCGGTAACTGCCGACCTCGTTGGCCTCTTAGGCGCCGGGGCCGCGGTTGAGGGGACCACTTCTTGTTCTTTTTCGTCGTCGCTGTCGTCGCTATAATCTCGAAGGATGGGTGCTTGGAAGAACCTATCGTCCACACCTCCATCTGGCTCGTTGGCCACGTCCAACACCGCCCAGTCTGGAAACGCAGCAGCAGTGGTGCCGGTCAAACTGGTGGTAGACCGGAGAGCCGACGTCGCTCTCCTCTTGCCTGCAGCACGAACCACGTCGTCACGCTGCACAAGAGCAAATGGGCACAGGGGGGTGAGGGCGGGTGTAGCGCGCAGCGTTCTCTCCAGTTTAGGAATTCTGTCGTATGAATGTTGCACAGCCGTGGGTGATCGTGTGGGTTACGCCGAAGGTCATAGTAAGCGCGACCACACCGAGAGGACCCGGAGAGGCGAGCCCTAACGCTCAAAGTCTAACAAGCATTGGCCTTGAAATGCGAAAAGAAGAGCACTCTGTCGACCTGCCCTACCGCCAACCCTGCCTAGTCGTACGAATGGCCTACAAACATGGGCACGTGGAGGTCACACCCCGGAAAAGTTTTGAACGTGATGTCGCCTTTCCCTACTTCCCATACCAGTGGAATTAGCTTACCCCGTGAAGCCGAGAATCGGAACCCAAAATGCACGAGAGGCGGGAAGGAGAGAGAGCTGCACGCGAACCACACCTTGTGGTGCGGCTGGAAACTGCCAGAGCTGGCAGGCACTTTGTCACATTCTCGAAGAAAACACAGGTCAAATATGGTCTACACATGTACTCCGATTATCCTGCTTCATGCTTTTCACTCACCAGCTGTGCTCCAGCGCCTTTGTCACGAATACTCTTTGCGAAGTCGGCCACCAATTTCTCGAGCTGGTCGCAGCCTGGAACGTACGAGCCATCCGGGATACAACCCGGGACGAACTCGAAACACTCCGGGTAGTTGCCCCTTTCCTCTTTGGGGGAGCAGACGCACGGCGAAAGGATGTTGTGCAAAGATGTGAACATCGAACACCACAAATAGCAAATAGGGTATGCTTAACGCGGCATTCCTCCTATCGGGGCTACCACCAGCGGACTAAACAACGTGACTGGAACCAACCCCAGGCACCATTCACCAACGTAAGACACAGGTCAGCAGGCGAGATGTTCACCTTTCGTTAATATGCCCTTCACGATGGCCATCCGAAAGATAGGGTATTCGCAGTCGGGCCTTTCGTAGCAAGGCGCAAGAACGAACGGGCGGGCGGGGAATCGGCATGATATTTTCGGATGACTACAGTGTGAGCAGCGTCATTCCGTCATCTGCATAGCCCCCTGTTGTGTGTTCGGTAAGCCATGCGGGGAACTTGTACAGGGAGGTGATGCGATAGCGTCGGGAGCATAGGTATCATATGTCTCCTATCCTTGAATCGTGCTTTGAGGCTGCCCCTCGAACAAACACATCTACGCCAAGCGGCAACCAGAATGTAGCCATGCGCCGCCCAAAATACAACAAATCAACGCAATGTCGGCCGGTTCAAACGGGCGATTTGACCCTGCGCCAATTAAAGGCATGCGTTCGTGCCCACCGGCTACCTCATCACTCACATCTGCATTTTGTTGACACTGAAGGGCAAGAGGTTGGGATCGCGATCCTCCTCCGACCGCACTTCTGTCACGAACCCCGGTATCCAGGGTCTCATTCCAACCCTAAGCTGTGTTGCAACCAAACAAAATTCGACGGACGCGGGGACACGACGGGACGTGAGCAGCCGAAAATAATCAAGGAGTCGACGAGGAGCAGCAGGAATGGACGCACAAGACAGCAGCTAGCGGTTTCCACGTCCAGGTGCTGACACACCTGTACGTCCGGTTTAGCGCAGGCAACCACAAGCGGGTGTCCAAGTGCTGCCGACGTGCTACGTGTTGTTGCGATATACTGTGACAGATTAACTGCGCTATCTTCAATTCGCCGGAGGCCCGCGACGATCCCACGCTCTGGCGGACAAGCCCCGAAGGACAGGAAGATTTTCGGTTGAACTCAAGTCGGGCGGAAAGCAGCAACAGCTGGCTTGAAGGTAGAGCGTCAAAATGTACATGTGTTCTCACCCGCCCTCTTGTCTTTTGTGTTGACCCGGAAAAAGAGTTCACTTTTTATAATTGTTGGTTCACTTTTATAACAGTTAGTTCACTTTTGTAACAAGTGATTCTCACTTTCATGACAGAGACTTGGCGTTTCCCTGGCGACGGCACAACAGGGTGTTTTCATTAATGCGAGACAGCACACACGAAACGTCCAGGGTATACATGTTCTTGTGCGATCTGGTCTGTCTCTTGTCTTCCGACTGTCTTGCCAACATGCACGCCCACACCATCAAAATACCGATTTTCGCGCCCACGTCGTGTTTTTTTTTTTTTGTTGTAGGCATGCTTTTCCCCTGCTTTTCTAGGCTTTGGGGTCGTCGTCAAACAGATGCCTCAAGTGCTGAGGGACTTCTTCCTCAACCACGCCATCCTTGTTCGGAATGAGACCCTTCTCAGGTCCAAACTGATGAGCCAGCACCCTAACTTCGATGGTTGAGATCGGTGGTGGAGAGATGCTGTACATGTTCTGGTTGTGGTGTAACCTTTGCGTTTGGTCAGCAGTTCAGCGCTGTTTTTGCGGGTCTAGATTGGCATTCACCGATCGTCGGATAGGACCCCCGATAGAGACCTACTGTCACGGGTTGAGTGGTTACTGTCATAGGTTGAGTGGTTCACTCAACGACCTTCGTCGAGGTTGTTCATCTGCCGTGGGGCTCATTTCGTCGGAGGAAGGCCCGCGGTGGTATCAAAGGTGTTGTCGGCGGGTGTAGTGTGCCTTTATCCCTTTACGTCTTGCTCGCGGTATGTGCGAACCTAGGTGAACCAGCCGTACACACCCGTGAGAATCGTTCTAGCTGCACAGGGGGTTCGTCTTATTTATGCGGTGCACAACACGTACGGGCTTTCCTACCCGAGGATCGCCATATCGCAATTACCTTCGTCTCGTCATGCGCCTGGAACCTGTAACTGAAGTTGCACATTTCTATTACGCAATGATGCGCCTGGGCAAGTATGTGCTCGTTCCATCGTTCCGTTTCTTGATGAGAGCTGCAGAACTGCTCCAAAATCAAAGTCATTTTTACCGCCTGGCTGTTAAAGGTGACTTGCACGACAGTCGTTATACTTTTATAAAAGTCCCCAAACTGACTGTTAGTAATGTGCACCCACCGTCACTTTCATAAGAGTCAGCTGACTGTAACAACAGTGTTTGAAATTTCATAATGGTCAGCTGACAGTCGTTTCACTTTTATAAAAGTCCCCAAACTGACTGCTAGTAATGTGCACCCACCTCACTTTCATAATAGTCAGCTGACTGCTATAACAGTGTGTGAACTGACACCTCACTTTCATAAGAGTCAGCTGACTCTTATGAAAGTGAATGAACTGACTGTCATAACAGTGAAATAACGATGACTGTTATAGGAGTGAGCCGACTGTTATAACAGTCAAATATTCACTTTTATAACAGTGAATCCATATACAAGATTGTGTGGGAGCCCGCGTTTGCGGCAGGTTCCCCACCTCCCTTTTGTCAGGTAAAGACAAGGCACGTGAGGCAACAGCGCTTCTCTCGGGCACGACCGAAACGAAACAACTTGTGTGAACTTGCCCGATTGTGGCTCAAGGCGCTCTCTCATCGACAGCGAGAGTCACATGAATCGCCAAGTATGCGGGGCGTGACGGTGCAGCGCCGCTTTTCCGCTGAACCTTTTTGAAACGGCAAAGGGACTGTCATGTGACCGGGATGTGTGGTCGAAACGGCACAAAAATCACACCGCACCGCAGATACAGAGTGCTCCGCGCCCTCTTGAGTGTATATCGAACGAAAGGTCTTCATTTGGTACTCCTACAAACACAGACACGGCTACAGGCGAATTGGACCGTACTCCTTTGTCCACCGATGACACAGAACGCTAAACACAGACACAGGCGAATTGGGCCGTACTCCTTTGTCCACCAATGAACGACACAAAGCCCTAAACACAGACACAGCACAGGCGAATTGGACCCTATTCTCTGTCCACCAACGACACGAAGCCGAAACCCAAAACACAGAGACATGCGGGTTGGACCCTACTCCTTGTCCACCAACAATACAACGCCCTAAACGCAGACCCGGCCCTCACAGAAAGCTGACAACGTTGCGGAATACGCCTTCTTCCACCACCCCAAGCCACTCCACCGCCTCAGACAGGTTGAAGCTCTCCTCCCCGCCACCAGACCCTCCCCGCTGCTTCGCCGAGCGCGCTCCCGCAGCACCACCGTCGCCACCAGCCTTCAGGGTGCGCAAACGAAGCATGACAAGCCAGCCCCTGCGACGCCACGCTCGGTCAGCGAGAAGTTCGCGTACCCCAGGAGTATCGCCATCATCATTCAACGCGTTCTCGTCCGCACCCGCCTGCAAGAGGAGTCTCAGTACCGCATCACTTTGGCTATAATCGCACGCATGATGCAGCGGTGTCGAACCAAAAGGACAACGAGAGTTGACGTCGGCCCCGTGGTCGATAAGGGTTTTACACACATGGTAAGTGCCGATGTTATCCTTAGAGTGGCAGGCCGTCTCGAGAGGGCAGTCTTGGACTCCACCCGTATTAATACGGATATCTGGATCGGCACCAGCAACCAGCAGGGTCTCCATGATGGGCAGCGACCTACCCATTATTACTGCCAAATGCAGTGCCGTGGTTCCATCAGTATCCACCGCATCTATTTCCAATCCCCCTTTGGACAAAAGGGCGTTGACTACACCAAGATGCCCTCCCGCTGTAGCAAAGTGGAGAGCAGTACAGTTGTCTCCAAGGCAATAATCTTCGTCTGTGAGACCATGGGCAGCGAGAGTTACATCCGCGTCGGCGTTCAGTAGAGTCTTCACGACAGGAAGGTGGCCTTTTCTGGACGCCTCCATCAGTGGTGTCCGTCCATTTGCGGCTGGAGAGTCCTTGTCAGCCCCCTTGTTCAACAGAGCAATGACTATCTCATTATATCCTCCGAGAGCAGCAGCGATGATACTAGTACTACCGTCGTCGAGGTGCCTAAAGGTGGCATCGGCACCCTGGTCCAGCAGGGTCTCCATGACAGGCATGTGGCCGTTTTCGGCTGCTTTCATGAGTGGCGTGTATCCGAACTGGTCTTGCTCGTCCTTGTCCTTCCACCTTAACAGACATCTCACCATGTGATTGTTTCCTTCCGAGGCAGCGAAGCCGAGTGTTGTAGTTCTCTCGTCAGCGTCGATGGCGAAGTATCTCTCGGCGAAAGCATCGAGTGCCCCGGAGTCCAACCATCCGAAGTCGCCAAGGGTTCTGCTGCGACCCCCATCCTGGAGGCGTTGAAGTTCTTGACCCAAGGCTTGCCTGTATTGCTTCACGAATTGCAGCATGAAGTCCACCTTCTTGAGGTCCATCCTCTCTGTATATGAACGGCGCAAACGAGACGGGACTATGTTGAAGTTCGAACAAGAAGTAACAATGACTACATTGGTGTGCGCCGATCGGTCTCACTACCAGTCTCCCTCCCTGTCCACGCGTACGGGGCACCTACGGCACTCCGTGTCACGCACTCCCTCACCTTGCTTCGTGATGCCGCGTGCTGTGCGTGCTGTGCCTGCTGGGTTGGGTGGGTGTGTGTGGGTCTCTTCAGAACTGGTGAGAGACTGGTCGGCACACAGCGAATAAACATTACTTGTTGAAGATCCGCCGAACGGTTCCGGGATTCTGATTTTGTTCTTGACACGCGAGGCACGATGAGCTGCCTCCCAGAAATGGAGCTCTTGCACGGCCCTGCACGGCCCGACTCTGGGGCGGTCGCGGCTTGCCCCGGTACGCTTGCCCCGTGGGCGAGAAGCGCTGAAACAGCCTCTCCTTGTCTTCCTTCCTCCCGCCGATGAGCACTTGGCACGGAGCGCACGATGCGCTCAAACCCTGACCTCGTATGTTCACCAACGGTCAACCAAAAGGCTGAACTCACATTTACAGCAGTCCGGATCCGCTTGCAGGATCCCAGATCGTGGGCAAGGAGGTCGTTTGGCGAGGCGAGGGTGGGCTGGGCAGAGGTGTCGAGATGGCTCCCCACGAATATTTATTGTTTTTATAATATTTAGAAAGCACCCCTATTTTCATCCTCACGGCACGGTCGAGAGCCAGCATGTGATTTTGGATGAACTTCACACACGCGCACAGCAAAACCTTGCCACCGTCGCTACAGGAGCTGCGGCGCAACAGGAAGGTATCTTCCCTCGACGTAGTGAAGCAGTTGCACTGCGATCCCGTCGATCACAGCCGGTCGTGCATACGCCAAAGCTGGCGAGATAAAAAGGTTCTCCAGCTGGAAAACGCCTCCCAGAACCACACCCTACAACGCCTCATTTGAATTGAACGGGTCACACCGCCGCAGCAACAACGGCTGCATCCGCTTGAGACCTATGGCAGCAGTAGCCGCGCACGTAAAACAGCAGCAGACAACCCACATGGACATGGATGATGTGGACGACGTAGTTTGGAAATGTTGCAGTGTAATCGAGGTACATTGATTTGCCAGTGCTAGTGTACCGTATACGACACAAGATAACACACCCCCTCGACCGATTTTGAAAGCTCGATTTATCAACAGCAGAAAGAGTCGCAGCGCCGAAAACGGGGGCGTTGAAGCTGTCTGGTCGAGAGCTCTCCGAAAGTGTATCGTTTCGTTTATGCATCTTCTTCGTCGTGGCGTAGTCGAGCTTTGAAAATCGGTCCAGGGGGTGTCATCTTGTGTCGTATACGGTAGTCGAGGACGTGTCTTAGTGTGTTTTAGGGGGGAGAGCGTGGTGGTGCGGCGCGGATGTCATCCCAAATGGTCGCGGTTTTTGTGGTGGTCCGTGCAGCTGCTGCCTCCGTGTTGTGCGGACGGTCGACGTAGAGAAGAAAAGTTGGTTTGTATCATATGATTCTTGGAGCATCATGACAACTGCCAACATGAACACGCGAGTACTTTCAAAACCGGAGAGCTCTAGGGAAACCGCATAAAATGTCAACGGGCAAAGAAGATACACCATCACGACGCCGAATCAAGGCTGCAACTTAATTCCAATGAGTGGTCATGATAAAGGGACCAGCGGTACTCTCATCCAACGCGCAAAAAAAAACTCAAAACATATCGGACACGGGGAAGAACGAAGACTCCGCGGGGTCGAGAGACTCTTGCCCCTCCACCCCTGCCAACCGGCAATGGTTTTCCAAGCGAATCCCCCTTCTCCTTGCTGCGGCGGGCCGGCTACCGAAGGAAATAATACCAATCCGACACAACAGATGCTGTTGGCAGACCCCCCAACACACGCAACACACATCCACACGCGCGCGCAAACCAACACGCGCCAACGGTAACAAAGCGAATGCAACGCCGAGTAAGGCATCGGCAACACGCTTTACATTTTCCTGACGTGTCCTACAGGTAAACGGTCTCCTCCACTACGGCGCACTACTACTTTTGTGTCGTTTGCTGGGCCCCGTTTGCTTCTTACGGGGCGGTGGTTGCAGACGCCCCAACTGAACAAGATGGGCGGTCGTCTGGAACGGTGGCGAAGCCTGCCCCCCCCCGCGACGAGAAACGTCCACGTTGTCCAGGGCACGAAACGGCAACGCCAAGCCCTCGGACGTGTGCGCCCCGTTGACGGGTGCCGCCTGGAAGCCGATAGGCGCGGCGCTGGTGGTGTCCGATCCTGCCGGAGGGTGGGACGCTCGGCGAACCCCCGTGGTACCGCTCGGCGAACCCGTAGCGAAACCAGCAGAGTTTACGCCCCCCCCTGCGCGCCCGTGGCCTGTCCCTCCGCCCCTGCCACCGCTTCGCCGGCCGCCGTTTCCACCGCCACCGCTTCCCTGGCTGCTGCTTCCAGGGTCACCCTTTTCCCCTGCCCGTCCTCTTCCGGTAGACCCCTTTCCCCCCCGGCCGCGTCCCCCCCGACCAGGGTCCCCGGCGTCTCCCTGCGGCAGGGCAGGGGTGGGCCGGGGGAGAGTTCCCGTGAACACCCGGCTCGTTGACTCGTCTCGTAACGACCGCTTCTCCACCTCGATTTGTTGCTTGGCGTGAACTTCATGGACTCCATCAAGCGTTGGATGCTCGCCACAGACGGGACCTCTTTGAACATACCACCCAGCTCCTTCCCTAAGGCGACGCCGTTGGCGTACGCGTAGGCCGACAAGTTGGGTCCGGAGTGGGACGACACGATCGGACTGGTGTCGACGGGCGGCATCTGTCCGGTAGGCCCCGCAGGTCCCGTCAGCCCCGCAGCTCCGGTCGATAGCTTGGCAGGCTTAGCGGCCAGCGCTGCCATCGTCCATGGCGTCTCACTGTCACGCCACCTTGGTGAAATGGTTGCTCCGTTGAATTGGGAGGCACGCTGGTACCACAAGGCCTTGATGGCGTGCGGGCAAAGTAGCCCGTAGACGAGCTGCCGCAGGCACGTGCAGAGGAAGAAGCCGTCCGGTCCAAGGGCGACGAGGTGACCGCACTCGGACGCCGTAGACATCGGTGTGATGCGCACCACCGTGTGGACGTTCTGGTCACGAAGTAACTCCGCGAAGTGAGGCACGGATGTGCGGGACACCATGGAGACACCAGCGGCTTCGGACGTCGGTATTGAAGGGTCCACCAACTCTCCGGAGCCGGTGTCGTACGTGAGGTTCGCCTTCGTCGGGTCTGCCACCAACTCCTCGAACAGTCTCCGCGCCGCCTCTTCGTCACGCACGACAGGTATCGCCTCGTAACTGAGAGCCCCGAGGATCTGTGCTTCAGTGTCCTGCCAACACGGCATGCCCATGGGTAAGGGCGGTGTGCGACAGGGGGGGGGGGGGGTTCGGGAGGGAAGTCAGGTTCGGCATTGACATGAATACCAGCAGCGTCGTTGGTGCTGCCCACAAAGACTGATCGCCTTCCACAACTCGAAGGCAAGTACAACTCCATTACATAACCTTGTGCTATACAAGCGGGCACGCAGAAGTCGGGTTGGCGAGTGAAGGAAATGGGGGGAAAAGACACAACTCATGGCCGCGTCGCTGTGACTTTCCTTGGTCAGGCACCGCATCTGAGGGGGGTACGGTTAGGTGTAATGGGGGAGAAAAAATCTGGGTCCGTCCATCGCCGCAAGCGAAGGCCGCCACAACTAACCTCCGTGGCGTGCTGGCTGCACTGCTCGTACTTCACTGCGTTCAGGACGAAGTTGAACGTTCGCAGGTGCTTGGTCCTGAAGCTTTCCACATACGAGTGTCCCTGCACAGCCACTCGGGCGACCGTTCCTCCCAGGTTTCGTCTAGCAAGCACGGGGCACAACGAGCAGAGCACTAAACTTGTCAACCAAACGCGCCACAACACAACATGATGTAGAAATGCCGGCGACTATTAATGTATTGTTACTCTGGTTGTGTTTTGTCCCCGTCATTGCAAAGGATCTCTGGTGTGGGCCGCCTGGGAAGCCTCGAGTCCGTCGTGCATACGCACTACCGACGACATACCACCTCGCGAACGTTGAGTTGACCTCATCCACATGCAACGGGCGTGCTTCCGCGTGGTTGGTCAATTGCTCTTTGTTGTCGAGAGGCGACCTACGAGACAGGCACAAAAATTCAAATGCTACCACCTTCAAATGCTACCACCTTCCTTCTGAACAGGTTGCCAGAACTCAACCACGCAATGCGTCGAGGTCACTGGACCATGGGTTGCCTCAGCTGGTGTCGCAAAATATGTACACGCAAATGTCACAACCGGACGCCCACCTTTGGGTCCTGTTGATGTCATCCTGAACCTTGCCTAGGAGCGCTCGGCCGAGGTCGACCATGTCGCCCTTCCTGGTCACCAGCTTCTTCACCGCAGCATTCATCCACTCAACACGCTGCGTGGAGGCAATGCCGAGAGTGTGCAGCCCAGGGTGGACGTACGACGCCCATTTGCCAGCCCGCCTGTCACACGTTACGGGACGGCTCAAACTTAGTGGGCACGAGACGGACGACGTCACCAACTGACGGAACCTTCAAACAGAATAAACAGGAGAAAGGCATCGTCGACGGAGGAGGAGCAAGACGTCACGCGTCCGTGGCCTACTTAGCATCGGCTGTCATTCTAGTCGGTGCTTACCCTGTGCCGAAGATGTTCTTCTCCATGTACTCGTACATCTTGCTCTCCGGGGGCAAGAGGTCGAGGAGCGCCCCTTTACATTGCAGGAAATACTGCGAGAGTGACAAGTAACGGAGCACGCGACGGGATGAAAGAAAATGGACCGGGAGAAAGAAGGTGCCAAGGACCTTTCGTATGAAATAGACAAAACAAGGAGAGCGGGCCGTTGGGTGTAGCCGCACGCGGCGGCGACGATTCCCGCGCTTCTACGATCGCAGATCTCTCAAGCGTTGGACA